CAGGATACACCACTGCCTTTGTGTGTATATGCTTGGATATATATCCACATGGACCTGTGCTCCAGGCTTGTGCTGCCCCATTGGTATATTTTCAATTATACTTGTTCCTCAAGGTACTTACCAGTGAACAAGGTGAGGTGAGATTCATAAAATAAAGGATGTCATTGGTAGCAATAGGATTGAGGGAAAAAGAGCACCTTGGTATCTGGGATATAACAATCAAAACAAGATAATTTTATTAGTTGCCAGACACCTGGGCCCCTAACAACAATATTCCTCAAGAACACCAGTTTCCCTCAGAATATCCCCAGACATCAGATATCACCCTAAAGTTTTTGTCTTCCAGATTGATAATCAGTCCAAAAAGTGCCCAAATCAGAGATGTCCAGCCCAAGTAATATGGAGAAAAAAGTTTCACCGGGCTGCAACTATTCTCTAATCTGGTGCAGAGTTCCAGGCTGCTGAGTGGAAAGTCACAGGGACAAAAGAGGAATCCTGATAACTCTGGTACAGAGAGTTCCCTCAAGTTCACTGTGTCATTGGATGCCTTGTTACACCCCCAATCTCCTTTCCAACTAGCGCTCTGTTTGGTGGTCCTGGGGCTGAGTGATATCCAGGCAAACCCGCGATCCGATCTACAGTTCAATGCGACTCCTGGGTAGCTCCCTGTCGGGTGCGCTGTGCCTGTGTAAAAGCCTTTCAATAGACCCTGGTGGTATTGTGGTTGTCGGTTTGGCTCTCGCAGTGTAGAGAGTGGGAAGACACAGCAGGGAATTGGTTATAACAGTGATTATAGTCCTTTTCGGGGGAGGTGGTGGGCCTTTCTTTTAATACCAGGCAGCTGATTAGAGTAAACTAATTTATAATAAATAGAATATTAAATTAATAAAAGAAAACATTATTAAGCGTCTGCCCTTTCCAGTAGATATCCGGGGCTGAAGAATCCCACATATGTGACTTCACCCTCTCCCCACAAAAAATGCCTATATCTCCATTACATGCTCTTTCAGTAACAATGCTGGAAGAGCATCAAGGGACATATAGTCCACAACATCTGGAGTGCCTTTGGTTGCCTTTCCCTCGCTTATGATATTCAGTAATGTTGAGACAATTACTAACTAGCATATTTGCAATTAACTCAGTTAACTATCCACACAGAGATACAAAATGGACCCTGCTATCTAAACACGCACATCGAATATATTAGGCTGGTTGTTTCTAAAGACCCATAATTGAAAACCATGCACTCCACACATGCCAGTAAATTTTTGGGAAAAAGCAGAGTATAAAATATATGTTTATAGGGTTGTAAATCATTGCTCTTTATTACAATACTGATGATTTTTAAAATGGTTTAATTTAATACAAAGTAAGCAGGAAATTACAATATGTGAAAAGGGAAGTAAATATTCTTGTAGAACAATTAGTTTTTAAACAGTAGAAAATTAGTCAGCATTCATGTATTTACTAGCAAAGATTATAATTAATTATAACCAGATACACGATTCAGATTTCTCAGACAAAGCAAATGCTTCTGTTTTTAATGGTGCATTTATTCTAATCTCAATTTGAACTATTGAGATTCTTCTGCTGTGATGTATTAAATATGGATGTTTTAGCAGTTGAAGGATTGGTTTGACATCAGATAAAGGCAAGGATGCCATAGCTACAATTTGTTTCCAGGACACATTGCACTGTAAACTGATGGGAAGTATTTCCCTCTAATATGAAGAAGTCAAATATTGTAGGTAGTAAATCACATGATAAATCAATTAGGAATACTGCAGTGATGTGGAATCAATTAATTAATTATCTTGCGTATCTGCCCCCGGCCAAATGAAGAAGTAATGCATGCACGCTCCTAAAGTAATTCACACCAGACACAGGTTTCGGGTTAATGAAAAACGTGAGAAATGTTTATTCTGAGGGGACGGCATGTCCCTTTTAAAGCAAAATTATATCATATGCATTGTCAGAGATAACATGGAATAATACATCAATAATTGGTTAGGTGTTAAGTGGTCCATTTTATTGCTCTTCCTACCGGGTGTGATGTCACTGGTATCTTGGAGGTCTCCCCCAGATTCCTGCGCCATCTTGTTAATGAGGGTGTTAGTCGATGTCAAGGGGAAACTCCCTAGTGGCCATTTTAGGTAAATCACATATAAAGTTGAATAATGCTGATTGTAGTTATACTGAGTAAATAGGCATTTTACCAACATGGATTGGGTTAATATTTTTGTCCACAACATGCAGTATATAAATCTACATACCACAGGCCAGTATTTTCATGTGCTGCCAATCACAGACATGCATCCATTGAGTTCAGCCTTTCTCACATTTGTTTTTGCTGTTGGCTCAAAAGAAGCATAAATAAAATTAAATTAAAAAAAAAACCAGTTTGAAGCTCTTTCTACTTTGGTAACAAACTAGGAAAACATATTTCTTGACCCCAAAATGGCAGTCAGATCTCTCCTTGAATCAAGAAGATATTACACCACAAATTAAAAATGATGAAATTTATATTTTTGCAAGTATTCATCAAATTGCCATTTAAACATCTCTACAGACTCTGATACAACTCTTCAGGCAGAGAATTCCACATCCTTATTGCTCTTACTTTAATATACCCTTTATTTTGCCTTAGACTAAATCTCCTTTTTTCAAGTCTAAATACTTGACCTTGTTTCCTATGTATGATTTCCAGATAAATCTTTGTATTGACCCCAGATATATTTATATAATGCCATCATATCCCCTCTGAGACACCGTTTTTCCAAACTGAAAAGATATAAATGTGTTAATCTTTTTTTTTTTTTATAACTTAAATGTTCCATTCCTTAATTAATTTTGCAGTCCTCCTTGGCACTGTTTCTAGTGCCACATAATCCTTTAGAACAGGTGCCCAAAATTGTGCAGCATACCCAAGGTGTGGTCTTACCAATGATTTATAAAGAGGCAAAATTATATTTTATACATGAAAATAACATACTGATTGACATTGCACATTGTTGCCAAACTTGTTTTCTATAACAATTCCTAGTTCACTACTATTTAGGGTGTAAGTTACTTGTGCATTCTTTACACCAAAGTGAATAACTTTGCATTTTATTCTACAGTAAATTTCATCTTCCATTTGAGTGCCCAGTCCACCAATCTATCTAAATCCCTCTGCAGTGAAGTAATATCCAGATCAGATTATACAACTTTACACAGTTTTGTGTTATCTGCAAACACTTAAACATACGTTTCAATGCCTATTTCAAGGAACAGAAACCTGAGGGCAGGACAGGTGCTTCCTTTAAGCCAGTTAGGCAATCGCTTAGGGCAGTTTTTAGGAGGAGGGGTCTGTACTGCTTGCCTGGACCTGCTCCCCTTCTAGTGA